ACTGCCTGGATATTTTAATTTGACGCGGGCTTTATTTCCTGCTACTCTCTATAGATCCAATGCCATCAGAAATGTAAGACTTATTACTTTCACTTTGCGACAAATAACTTGGAGAAGCACTAAAATGTAACAAAAGTCCACGAGCATAAAATCTAGGTATATTTGCAGTTCAATCGACCATAACCATAACCATCCCTTTCCACATATACAATATCCTATGCACAGCTAGGCATATCGAAAAAGAATAACTTGTCCAACGCCAGATATCATACAGCATAAACATAACGACGCCCGAGCCTGTTTTTCATCCAATATGACCAATCCCTCGGCGAACCATCAAGTTTTGATACCCAACACCCATCCGTGCCACATCGATTCCCACCCTCCTCCATCATCGCATGTTTTTGATATTTTCACCAGCTACAGTAACGCAGAGTTACCTTGGCATTTGACCCATATTCATCATTTGGCTCTTCTGTGCTTCCTGCATCATCCTTTGTCGCATCATTTCGTTCTGCATCTTCTGCTGATGCTGCTGCTGCTGTTGCAATTGATTTTGACTGAGACCTGCCATTCCCATATTTTGTTGAGCTTGCTGTTGATGCTGTTGCATTTGGCCCATGCCAACCATAACACCCATACCGCCTTGAACCATTTGTCCCTGCATTTGACCTTGCCCCATCCCATTTTGACCTCCTGTCATATTTTGTACACTCTGACTCATATCACCTTGTTTCTGCCCTTGTCCTTGCATTTGTTGCGCATGTTGCTGTGCCTGCGCTTGCGCCTGTGCCTGTGCTTGTGCTTGTGCTCTAGCTGCTGCGTTTGCTGGTTGAGCAGGTGTGTCTTTTTTTGGATCTACGCCTGGATATAGGGCTTGGAGCCGTTTGTATAACTCTTTCAATATCTCACCCCGATTTTCATGCTTTCCTTCGCCTTTCGAGTCATCGCCGTTTGTAATCGCAGATGTAGGGTCTGTATGTGCGGGTTTGGGCGTGAGAGGCGGGGCGAACATGACTGCGGGATGCGAGGGTACCTGAGCTGCGGGCTTATGGGAACGATCGGCTATGCGGCAAGGTAAGCTAAATTAGACTGTAGTCGTCGCATGCATCTTCAAGCTTATCAGTAAATGCTATAATCTCAACATGTATAGGGAACAGACTGAATATATTCGCTCGCCAAAACTTTGTGCTCCGTCTCAAGCTTTGCCTTTTCAGTAGGGTCTTCCGTTTTGTTACTCTTCAATTCAGTTTGCAGAGCTATAATCTGCATGACTTCTTTCAACATCTCCTTATTGATGTCTAGTAGTACGGTAACCCTCTCTTTCTCTCGAACCTCCGAGCCGGGACTTAATGGTGTACCCATAGCGGTTCCCGCGTTTTCTGGATTCCGCGACCCTGGTGGAAAGCTTGGAGTCTGCGGTGTCAAGCTCATTCCTCCTTGTTGACTATTATTAGTCATTTGATGTTGTTGCTGATTAGGATTGGGTGGTATTGCGAATTGTGCGGTAGACGCACTTGGTGGTGTGCTCTGAGGAAAATTTCCATAGGGAGAGACGCGAGAAGTCGCCGACGTCGGCGTAGGTGTAGAAGATGGAGGTGGCTGCATGCGCTGTATTTGATGCTGTTGTTGTGCTATCATTGTGGATGGGTTCATTCCATATTGTGAGGGCGCATTTGATGTGGTCGGCATGAAGTTTGTAGGATGTGATATGGAAGAGGACGTAGCGATATTGTTGCCGTAAGGAGAACTTGTATATGGTGTCTGATATGAGGGAACTGCTTGCATATAACCAGTTAGTCATTTTGCCTTGCTTGTTTGCGATTGTGAACAGTCACAAAAGTTGACGCCTATGTGCCTCTCTGCTTAACGTGAATAAAGTATATGTATATTCAAATACCTCGCATGCCTTTCATAGTCTGACGTGCAGGCATTGTCTAGTCTTCCATCCGAACATCGAGGTGTGCACAAGATATGCAGCAGCAATATAATAATCTAGCAGGCTACAGAAAGTTATAGGGATGTGCAACTTACCATTTCCACCAGCCATATGCGCCAAACCGCTATTCTGCATCATTCCCATTCCACCGGCATTAACAGCCATGCCGGAGCCAGATGCGCCGTAGGGCGATTGATGACCTCCAGCTCCGTATTGCTGAGTATTATACATAATGTGCTGAGGCTGTTGTTGACCTGGTTGATGGACATTTTGTGGATGACCACCATTAGGGTTGAAAGATTGCGTATTGTTCCCCTGTCCAAAAGAGAAATTTGGTGCATACATGGCTCTTGGAAGTCGACAAAAGGGCCTATGATAGGCTGCCTATCATGATCTCAAGTCGCACATACGCCGCACGGCAATGATTTAGCTGGGAAATGCTAGGAGATCAACTTTCGTTCGTTCGGGAATGTGCGTAAGGCAATGCCAAGGGTCTTTTGATTCCCGTAAGGTGGTCTCGTTTCGGAACTTTTTCCTGGGGTGATTTGAAATGGGGGTGGGCTATGGGAATGTGGGATAGGTAGATGACGGTCTTTTCAGCTTTTTTTCCCTTCTGTCCTCTCTTTTCCTTTTCAGTATTACGATGCGGGTCGTTTCTGGGTGAGAAATTAATGCGCGTTTGCCTTCGGATGCATGCATCGTAAACAAGAACCGAGCTCAAATTTGGCAAGGATTTTAACCGAAGTTGATAACATCGACTGGTAGAAAACAGTCCGGACAAGGTATATATCTGGAAACTATTCATGCAACGACATGGTATGAGACTCACTAGTTATCTACAGAGTATTCGAAAGATGATCTATTTGTTCAATAGAGGATTGACTGGAAGAATTGAAATGGCTCAAATCCTTCAGGATCCATCTTGTTGTATGTTGATTGACGGGAAATGAGTACCAAGGACAATTCTTATGATATCGTCGTCGCTCCATCCGACTGACTATTGACGGGAGTCTCTCTGATGAACTCAAAACAATGGGAATGTATAGAATCCCTTACACTCCTATCTGTATCTCCCGTATCTACCTAGTGGTAAGATCGACGCGTCTAGCAAGGTGCTCTAGCTATCTAGATATGCGCAATCATGGATAGACACGCATCAGTACAATCATTGATTCATTTACTCCTTCCTGAAGTTATGGGCTCTCGTATACTCCGTACGTATGGCTTATAGTGGAACGTCATTCACTGATTTAAGGCATGCAAGTAGACTATTTACATTTGGCGGCGCTTTCATCGGATACGGGATATACAAGTTTTCCCGGCAGGGGTTGAGGTCGCATCGAAAGTTATAGGGCGGTGACTGTAACACAAGCAAGCAAGTAATCGGCTCCTGAGAATGATTACTTTATTTCTTTTGTCACTCAGACATGTTTTTCAATAAGAGTTAGGCCTGAGCTTTTCTACTTTTCTTTAAAAATTAATACTTTTTATATTTATATTAATTCAACTGTATTTTTTAAAATCTTTGAAATCAAATAAGTAGATCAAGAATCAAATATTCAATAATGGAATATTTGTTACGAGGTTTGCTCGTCTAGATCACGTGGAAGTGCTCTAGGCTCTCGAGGTAGTTTATAACTAGGCGTCAAGCAGGGACTTAAAGTAATGACAATAATGATATGCAATTCGTAACTAATAGTAGGATATACTAAATGATTGATCTTGAGCACGAAGCTCTATACAAAGGAAATCCATCTTGATTATATAGACCTTCGTGTTCTAGCTGATCAGTATGGCTCAGTATGTCACGATTCATTAATTCACGTGACCTTGAGGACCTTGAGGACCTTTTGGACCTTAGGGTCCCAAAGGTCCTCAAAAGATGATATAGGGTATATAAACATCCATTTAGTCTCGTAGTTAAGGAGCTGTCACGATTCACCATTAGGATTGATGGTGTTACGATGGTAGCAAACTGATTAATTAGGAGAGCTTAGGCCTTGTGCAAACACGATCAGATTTCATCGAATTAGTATGTGATCTTGGTCACCTGAAGATCGTGTATGCACGCACCATCAGAAATCACGTGATAAGGAGCCCCAGGAGCTTCGTGCTCAACTTAGTTATCAATTAGTTTACCTACATTCTATTTGATCTAGTAACGAATTCACTTTCAAGTGAATACCAGTGATAAAGCCTTAACCTATAACTACCAACCGACGAACCTTAGGCAGCCGCTGCCTTTAGTACAGTATCGTTACAGGAGCTTTGTGCTCAACTTAGTTATCAATTAGTTTACCTACATTCTACTTGATCTAGTAACGACTTCACTTCCAAGTGAAGACCAGTAATAAAGCCTTAACCCACAACTACCAACCAGACGAAACCTTAGGCAGCCGCTGCCTCCAGTATAGTATCGTTACACAGTACTGAGCTTGCTGATCCTCACTAAGTCAGTCACATGATATTGGTAGCACGTGAGCGTCTTCTTGTTACCCGGCGTAACAATATTTTAAAACAAAAAGTTATTATAAATATTTTTTTATTAAAATATTTTTATTTTTATTTTAAATTTTTATTTAAATTCAAATTTTGTAAACCTTTAATAAATAATTTATATATTTTGAAATTTATAAATTTAGAAAGTATATACAATAATTAAGTAGTTTGTTTTTAATTTTTGAAATTTTTTTTTTTTTTTTTTTCAATACAGAAATGTATTTCGCTAAGCACTCCACCGCCCTTCCCTCAAAACCGCCCCCGGCCCTCTTAAAAACAAGCCCGAGTATTAATACTAACTCTTACTAATTGGCTTAACAGATTGATAGCTACCAATATGTAGCATATTTTGAAGTTCCTTTGACAACATTCAAGAACTCTTTCGCAACAGCCTCACTTGTTCCTGGAGATGGGTGTAATTCATCGTACCACATGTAGCCATCTCGGTCTCCTGATTTTTGGGGACAAGGGGATCCAGAGACATCACAGAGAATATATGATACATCGACAATGGCTGGTGCCGGCAAGTACTGTGTTGGATTATTGTAGATGTCGGTAAACAAGGCATTGGTATTGAAGATGGCGAATGATGCTCCTGGATACCGTTTGCGGATTTTTAACTCGAATGGTACTCGGTAGTCAAATATATTGTTGGCTAATTTGGTATATTCTTTCATTTTTCCGCTGACTTCTGATATGTTGCTTGGCTAGATTTTGCGTAAGTTAAGAGGCCACATGGGAAGACTTGAGATACTTACTTTGTTGGGCCAGTAAGAACTAACATTCAATCCTCCTGCATCTGGCATGCCGTACAATGGGGTCAATTGCAATGGTGCGTTATTCATCAACACAAAATACCTAGCTCCGGTTTGGTAGATTTCATCAAACCTATCAAAAATGCAATCAACATAGTCCGGAATAGTTGTCCCGTTTGTAGAAGAGTCTGTAATAAAGCCGTTTCTTCCCAAATCGTTGGTACCGATCCACATTGAGTATACCGTGTTATCTGACTTGCGGTTGGTGTAAAGAGTGTTGGTATTTGTGGATGAATTGACGTAGTTGACATCGGCGACGAAAGCATCAACTTCGTAAACAACATCAGGGAAAGGTCCGTCGATGCTGGCAAGGTATCGGTACATCAACTTGTTAGAGCAGACTGCTCCGGCGACGGCATAATCATAAAGCTTAGCCCCACTGTTTTTGGAAACCCATCTATCCCATACGACACCACCGACAGCAGTTAAGTTGCTTGTGGGAAGAAGTGTCCCTGGTGGTGGTGCGGAACCATTATGGCTTTGGAAATAGCTCAGTCGGGATTCGTCTGTGTAGCTATTGTTTGAATTCATGTTAGCATTCCTCTCAAATAATAACCCTGCAATGTAGATAATATTCGCGAGTAGATCACTTGTCGTCTTACCTATCTCCAAAAGCTACCAAGTTCTCGAAATGCGGAATCCAGCCATTCTTACTTGCTCGTGATGTCAAGTCTGCTTCCGATGGATTGGGCATGGCAGTTGCCGCCCCATATCCCATAAATAAAGAGACCGAATACATAGAAATCTTCATTTTGCGTGTTGTCCTTTATCACAAACTAAATATCAATATAAGCCAAGTAGAGTAGCTGAGGCATGACGAGAACTTCCTCAGCCTTTATATCTACACATCTTCCGCCACCTTCAATTCATCCGAATACGACCCGATTCCCCTCGCAGTAATTTCGGAGTATCACTCGATACTTCACATAAATGTCGCCCGAATCATGGAAAGCTGAAGAACTCAATTTAGCAACTAATGTACCCCGCACAAATGCACCGCCGATGCACGCCGGCTAAAACGGGGGAAAAACGGTGGAAATAAACGGTGAGAATGAACGGTGAGAACGAACGGTGAAAACAATTGTTCTATTGCAAAATCAACCCAAAATTTTGAGATGATGAAACTACTGTCTACCTAGTACCTAGTAGTCCATACGAGTAATCCAGATAAGACCTCATATTAAAAACTCTCCTTTTGGAAGCGGGTCGGCAATAGCTTACGGGTCGGAATATTCAGATTCCGATGCTTTTTCAACTCTCATATCGAAATAGCGCAAATTCCCATATCCATTGATCTATGGAATCTTTAAGGTTTTCACATATTTTTTTAGCACGTAAACGGGATTCTAGTCTTGAGGAGCACAGCTTCCTGATTCTGAATCATCCGCCATACTAGGCATGGTTCTGCGGCTACTCTATTCCAAAAGAGGTCTAGTGTAAGTTCTTGCCTGCAAGTGCAATGATGCATGTGCGGTGTTAAGTAAAAACAGGCTGAATTCATGATGCATATATGAAGGAGATGGAAACTTCGGCCGAGAGGATTGTGAGAAGGCAGAGACAAATCCGTGTGTTATTAAACCGACAAGGGTCTACTCGGGCTAGTCTTTAAAGAGGACCGGGCCCAAGCTTTTATAATGTTACGACCAATCCTAACAGCTACTCAGGTGACTAAGCTTATGATCACATGACCCAATATTGTTCCACCTAAAATCACTCAACTATAGGCAGTGGGATATAATGGGAGGCGATGGGATGTATAATACGAAGGTCTATATAATCTAGATGGATTTCCTTTGTATAAAGCTTCGTGCTCAAGACCAATCATTTAGTATACTCTACTATTAGTTACGAATTGTATTATTGTCATTACTTAAGTCCCTGCTTGACGCCTAGTTATAAACCACCTCGAGAGCCTAGAGCACTTCTACGTGATCTAGACAACAAACCTCGTAACATATAATTCTTATCATCAAAAATTAACTTTTTAAAAAAATATATATTAATTCAATTACTCGGTATTTTAATTTGATAATTGTAAATAATATTAATATTTTTTTTAAATAATAATTGTATATCAATGAAAAAGTTTTTATATTTTAATTTGTGACCAAAATGTCACGATTCACCATCACGTGGGACAAGTGGAAATCACGTGATGGAGCCCTCAGGAGCGTAGGCTCCTCCAGGCTCCTGGAAAGGACCAGTATATAAACATTCATTATTTTCATAGTATAGGAGCTTCGTGCTCAACTTAGTTATCAATTAGTTTACCTATATTCTACTTGATCTAATAACGAATTCACTTCCAAGTGAATACCAGTGATAAAGCTTTAACCTACAACTATCAACCAGACGAAACCTCAGGCAGCCGCTGCCTCCAGTACAGTATCGTTACACAAAAGGGTGTTTATAGACCAGCAATTGTATTTAACTTAGAATCTACAGGTGAAGAGCACCTGTAGATGGGGATAGCTACTCTATATATACACAAATGAATGGCCTAGCCGCAATGGCTAAGCAAAAAGAAATCATATTTATCCCTCCAATGATCTGTTACGTCCAAAACGATTAGTATGTCACATGACCATAAAACATGTGATGGAACGGTGAGGAACGAACGTTCCTAGGAACAACCAGGAACGCTCGTTCCCAGGAACGACGATTCCTAGTTAACCATAGGCACGAAGGACTATATAATCAAGATGGATTTCTTTTGTATAGAGCTTCGTGCTCAAGATCAATCATTTAGTATACTCTACTATTAGTTACGAATTGCATATCATTATTGTCATTACTTCAAGTCCCTGCTTGACGCCTAGTTATAAACCTACTTCGAGAGCCTAGAGCACTTCCACGTGATCTGGACGGCAAACCTCGTAACATGATCTTACTTTACCGATAACCATTGATACCTAGTACTTGTTCGGATCTGATCCTCAGACTACCTAAATCGTATACTAATCCCGAGTAATCGTATCATGTGTGGAGATGGTTAATGTACCTGAGGTTTCTTACATAATAAGGGTGGGAGGAAAGCTGTTACGAAGGTTTGCCGTCTAGATCACGTAGAAGTGCTCTAGGCTCTCGAGGTGGTTTATAACTAGGTGTTGACCTCCTGGGATCTTGGCAGCATATGCATATATAGTACATATGCATATAAGGAGCAAACAAAACTCAACTTTTAATTCATTCTTTCCTTTTTGGTATACTGTTTGTTTGCTTTCAATATTTTGATTTCAAAGCACTTTAATTCCGAAGGCCGAATACCTAACCTATTCCTTCATTTTTTTTCAATATATACTCGCAGCTTAACTGCTCAGCTAGAAAATCAATCAATTCAATCTGATGCTCTTTCTAGTCTCAAGAAACCCAACACTAGGCGTCAAGCAGGGACTTAAAGTAATGACAATAATACAATTCGTAACTAATAGTAGAGTATACTAAATGATTGATCTTGAGCACGAAGCTCTATACAAAGGAAATCCATCTAGATTATATAGACCTTCGTGCCGATGGCTACTCAGTAGGATCAATGCAGCTCAGTACTGAGCTCACTGATCCTCACTGAGCCAATCACGTGATATTGATTGCACGTGAGAGTTTCCTGTTACTCGGCGTAACATTATTTTCAAATTTGAAGTTTATATATTTCTTTACTGATTTTTTAGAGTTTTGAAATAGATGATTTTTGGTATAAAAACGTGTTTCGCTAAGCCCCCGGCCCTCTTTAAAGACTAGCCCGAGTATGTACTTGCCATTTTCCTTCTGTTGCTACTCTTTCAACGCTCAATATTTGATCCGTGATGCTTGATACACGCTTTGTAATCAATTCGTTGTTCTTAGAATGTTTAGTTTGTATCTGCAGCGCGACCCTTGGGTGTTGAAGGAGATTTCCTGGCTATTTGAGCCCATGAAGCCAGAATTGATGAGGGAGTAGGGAAGTATATTGCTTCGCAGGACAATGGACCTTGGTTGTCTATACGTAAAATTCATATCATAACGCTCCTTATACATCTAGCAAAAAGCTCGTCTACGTCTGGAATACCTCTCAGCTCCATTATCAAATGATAGCATAAATTCAAGGATATGAAGTGATTTCCGTAAGTATATAAAAATTTCAGTAGCTTCTAGGTAAGCCAAGAACCTTCTCTCCAACATAATTCATGATCATTTCCCTCGAAACTGGCGCGATCCTTGGAACGAAACACTCCCTTAAGTATCTCTCAACATGATATTCTCGAGCATAGCCCATGCCTCCCAAGCTTAACACGCTTCTTTCACAGGCAGTAAAGGCTGCCTCACCTGCTAAATACTTTGCGCTATTGCACGCAACACCAACAGCTGTTTGTGTTACTGTTTCATCCGTCCTTGACTTATCGTACAACCTTGCTGCGTGATAAGTTGCCAATTTCGCAGCTTCAAGGTGCATGTATGCATCTGCCAGTGGGTGTTGAATACCTTGATTCATACCTATAGGTCGACCAAAAACGATTCTTTCCTTTGCATACCGGGAGGCTCGATAGAGTGCGGCATATCCAAGACCTAGTGCTTCCCCTGCTAGGAGACATCGTTCAGCGTTCATGCCATGAAGTACGATTTTGAAACCTTGACCTTCTTTACCGATTAGTGAGTTACTTCTCACGACGTAATTGTCGAAGAAAACCTCGTTTGCATCAATAGCACTTCCTCCCATCTTTTTGATTTTCTTGAGTTCGAGGCCTAGCTGTTTAGGATCAAAGTCTATGAAGAAAAGAGATAGGCCTTCGGAAGGCTTTGCCACTTCTTCAATGGGGGTAGTTCTAGCCAATAGCACCATGTTCGTTGCAACTTGTGCTGAGGATATCCATATTTTCTGACCGGTTATCCTGTAAGTATCACCTTCACGCATAGCTCGAGTTTTGAGCTTGAGAGTCTCCAAACCAGTGTTGGGTTCGGTGACTCCAAAACATGCTCGCCATGTACCATCGATTAGCTTGGGTAGCATACTTTGACGTTGGGAGGGAGTGGCGAATTTTGCGACAGGCTGAGTGGCATAAACATCTATATGAATTAGCACTGAATTTCTGGAAAGAGAGAACTGATATTTTATTGTTGCATTGAATTTGCGGATCAATCTGAAAATTTTGAGGTCCGTATCCAATAATCAATGCGATGAAAAAGTTTCGATCGAGTGAAAGTCAATAGCAAAAATGGGTTAGACAGACTTGCATGTATGCTTTGTGCACCAGCCATACCTGCACCGCTCTCTGAAATCGTATGCAACATCATAGTAGCCTCTGAGATACCAAGGCCGGATCCTCCAAGTTCTTCTGGAAGGGCAATGCCAATCCATCCACCTTTCGCTAAATCTGCATGTAATTCATGTGGATATTCACCAGATTCATCATGTTTTGCCCAATATTCCTGATACCATCAGTGGAAATACTCATGGCATTTCTGACCGGATTAATCTTACGTCAGGGTATTTCGAGCAGATTTTGGCAATGGCTTCCCTAACTTCCAATTGTGTGTCTGAGAACCCACTTGTTTCCATTAGAGTATTGGCTCTTAGTGAGGTTGAAACTGTGAAGGCCCTTCTAAGCAATACATTTTGGTACAGTTTTAAGCTGAATGGTCTGGAAATTCTTGATATTCTCGTGCAAACCATGATGTCTTTGCGAACCAATTTGAAAGTTTTATCTTCCCCAAGCTCAACGATCACTTTGAATCCTTTTGTAAATAAAAGGGAAACGGATAAAGCGGAAGGTGGAGCAGGCAGAGAAGAGCTACTGACTGCCTACATGAACACTTTAATACCTGATCCAATCATCATCACATTTTGTGAGGCCGTCGATGGTAACTTGTTGTTCCCGTTGTAAAGCCGGGTGAGAGCAGATATAATCACGTGATTGAGAAACTCGGGGCGGGCGATCAACGCGCTTGTGTGGGCAACCAAAACAATACGACAGCATCACCCAGGTTTATGAATTTTAGGGCCTCAGTTCATTTTCTCATGACCACCGCAACACAAATCGCTCAACCCCGAGTTAATGCTAATTGCTTACAAAGATATGATCTTATGATTTTGCGAGTAATCAATCACGTCAAGCTACTCGGTACATTATAATACGACGCGCTGTTTCGAACAGCAGAAGGGATGGCGGCAATGCGACCAAACAAACGATTACAAGTAGGGTCGAAAGGATGGTTAATAGAGGAGCGATCAAATGCGCTACAGCTTGCGGAGACTGAGGCGGAAGAATTTACATTTGCTGCAAGGAATGAAATTGAATGGTTGAATGAACATATGGCGGAAATCTTCAACAAGAACCAGGTGTATGTAAACATACCTGCGACAGAGGACACGAGCTAACCTTCTGCCTTCCAGAAACGTTGCCGAAATATTCAAAACACCTGGAAAGTTACGTGGGAAGACGCCTAGAACGGCTAGGAAGTTGAATCAATTGGAAGTGCGCGCGGTATGTCAATCAAATCTATCTAAAGCTCCACGCTAACATCCAGCAGCCATTGTCCGATGTATTTTCAGCAACACCGCAAGGAGCTCCCAGCCCGTTTCGACAAACCCATTACGAGCGATCACCTCCAAAATTTCGAGTGGCAGAGGACGCCCCAGCTGAACCTCAAGAGGAAGCCGCTCAGTCGCAACCTTCTCCCTCGCAACCTACCCCTTCACATCGTCCATCTAGCTCTGGTATTTTGCATAGTAGTGTCCAGCACAAATCTTTTAATAACGCGCTCGATTCTGGATATTACGGAAGCCAGTTTGAGGAGGCGACCCAGTCTAACACTCAACTCACCGAACCAGCTTCATTCACCTCAACCACACCCCGACCTCTTACAACCCCAGAAGATACCAACGCAGATATAGATACTGCAGAGAATACTGAGGACGCAGATAAGGAAAGCAAGTCCGAGGAGGCGTCACCTTCCGCGCGGGGTGCAACTCCGAACACTGAGCCTGAAGAGAGACGAGTCATCGAGGACTCGTTTCAACCTGCACAAGAAGACTCGCCAATATTGGCCACTATTGAGGTTGAACCAGAAGAAGAAAAAGATCAACAAGTTGAAGAAGAACGTAAAGAAGAAGAACATGGCCAATTCATTGGAGATGTTGAGTATCCAAATCTCGAGTCGCCAACGCAGAATCGGACCCCAGTCTACCAATCGCCGGAAAAGCCTCCACAGCAGAAATCTCCATCCAAATCTCCTGAAAAGCTAGATTCTCCATTGAAAATAGAACCACGGTCATCGCCGATGCCTCAAGATGAGGATGAGCAGATGGATGATGCTCCCGACGTTCAATCTGCTTCCGAAGGATCAAGTCCTATACGCCCGATCTTTCGCAAGAGCAGTTTGAATTTCGCTTCCCTGCCTGCTCGAGATTTGTCCAAGAAGAGTCTCGGGCATCGTACGTCGCGAACGAGTCATCTTGAGCAGACACGTACTAGTCATTATGGCCGACCAACGGGTGGAAAGAGTTTGGGTAATGTTAAAGAAGACCTTGCAAACAAAGATGAGGACGAAATGGAAATTGATGAAATGCATGGCCCGACTGGACGGGAAGAATCCGAGGCAGAAACGTTACTAGCACGCATTCACAACAAGACTTCCACGCAGCGTCTTCAGGACCAGATCAGCATGCTTGGTCAGTCGCAACCTGCAACTAGGCCAGCATCTAAGTCGCTTGTTGGTGGTGTCATTGCCTCTCGACAGTCGACACAAGCGGTTCAACCTCCAACACCACAACGTGGGCAAGAAGAATCATCCTCACAACAAAAGAACAAGTCGTTCGCTACTCCAGGCGCCTTTCCAGAAGACGAAGATAGCTGGATTGGACCTCCAACGACAGCACTGAACGAGAAGTCTATTTTTAGTCCTCGCCCAACAATTGCCAAGACACACACCACAGATGTAATGGAGGGCATACATGACAAGGAGACTATTAGTGGCTCAGAATTTATGATTCCTAAAAGGGGTGATGGAAGGCAAACATCGCCCGTCCGAGAAGCGAATGTACAGGGTCTAACTAAATCTATCTCGACTTCATTCATACCTTCCCAGAGGGGAGTTGAGTCACAAAGTCCTAACAAACTGACATCAGTCTCCAATCCAAATCTTCCCATTAGTACAATTGATGAAGACTCGACAACCCCTCCAAAATCCCCTCCAAGGACTCTTCGGGGTAGCCCTTTGAAGGTTGCTAAAGATAAGTTTTCTTCGATACTCAAATCCGGAAAAACCTTGTTTGTAAGCAGTGCGGCTGCGAGTGCTGAAGCCAAAATTGAAACCTTATCGTCATCGGCCACAAGATTTACTCGAAAGCCTGTGCCTTCCTTCGAAGATGTTCTTCAAAGTGAGGCGAATGACGTAGAAGTCTCGTATCCGAAAATGATGGATACGCATAGTTATGACCAAGCTCCCAATCGTTTCCAAAGTCCCTCCAAAGGTATCATTCGAAGGACTCGAGCGTCTACTGAAAAGGAAGAGAAACGCAAAGAAGAGGCTGCTAGAGAGGCTAAAGAAGCCAAAGAAGCGCAAAAGATGAATGACCAATTGGAGAAGGCACGCATGAAGGTCAAAGAGGACGCACGTGTTTATCATCAAGAGCAAGAGCGAGCGGCAGCCATTCAGAGGGAGGTGACTGCCCGAAAAGAGCAAGAGAAATTGGCAAAGTCGACTCAAGTTGACGTGCAAAGGGCAACTCGAAGTAGTCCACGGAGAACGAAGGCTCAATTGGAAGCAGAGGCCATGGCAACGGCGGCAGCTTCATCTTTGAAAGCATCTTCTAGTAGAGATATCGATATGACCGATGCATCGGCGTCAATGCCGCCGCCTTCTATTCCAAGACCAAAGTCTCAGATCGGGCGACCACAGGCCAAGCGACCCTTAAAACCAGTAAAAGACACTGCTCCGAAAGCTAAGGCGCCAGCAACTGTTATACGGGTTGACACTGGCTCCTCACGTGGTCAGCAGTATCACCCATCTAATACAACACTTGCGGCGACCTTAGAACAGTCATTACAAAGTTCCCAACCTGGACACCTACGCAATAAAGCTAGCAACAGTTCAATACAAAGTAAATCCTCCACGAATAGCTTCAAAGCACAAGCCAATAAAGCTTTGGAAGCTGCCGCAAGAAAGAAGGAGGCGGACGAACTTGCTGCTCAACAGAGAAGGGACGCAAGGTTGGAAATGGAACGTCAACGAGCCGCTAGCAAGGAAGAGCAAAGACGCCAGAATGAGCTCACTATCAAACGTGACCAAGAGCGTCAACGGGAACAGCAAAAGGAGATAACTCTGAGTGAGGCTAATAAAAGAGCCATCGAAAGGGCGAAGCAAAAGAGAGCTCCGCCTCCCGCTATCAGACCTCAACAAAATACCGATCAATGGCTTGATAAGTCATTGCCACCGGTTCCACCCCAAAGAAATGATCTAGGCGGACAAGCGAAAAGCACCCGTATCAACACTGCAAAAGCACCACCAAAGAGACCTTTGCAGGAAAACAACGAAGAGGCTGCTCGTCCAACAATGCAGCGGACTGCGCCCCCAAATCATGGTGATTCCCGCAGCAAACGCCAAAGGACCAACGAGTTCCTCGATGAAGAAGATGAATTGACGGAGTCTCATCCTAAAATGACTGCTCCCCCAATTCGGCAGTCTAGCATTCGTCCAAAGGTAAGCGTATATGAATCGTCGATTAAATTTACCACTCTAACTCAAGATAGGAGATGCCTACAAAGTCATTGTTTGCAAGCGGATATGCCCACGCTCCACCGCCTGCTAATTTGCAAAGATCTACTATCGTGTCACAACACCAAAACAAAATCGGTAACCCCATGGATATGACTCAGGTCTCCAAAGGAGCCATCCCATTTGCGTCGAGCTCGAATGGACAGTCATACAAAACACCAGCACGTACTGCAAGTCATGCCTCAGCAAAAGCAGCAAGATCTGCAGCAAAATCCTCGCCACGATATGAGAATGGAGAAAACATTGTTCTCCCCGAAATACCTAGTGATAGCGAAGATGAAGAGGACGAAGATGACGAAAAAGAAAAGAAGGAGTTTCAAGGTCTTGGCTGGACAGATTCTCCCGAAATACGCAAACAATTGGCACTTCAAGAATCCATTGATCCATCTAAGATTTTTGGACGACCCCAGGCCTTGAATATGGAAGAAGTGTTTGATAAAAGCAAGGATCGATTCCACAAATTTAGGGCTAGGACATCCAGTGCTAACTGGAGTGGCTCCGATCGCCTTACTGAAGAGGAGGTGCGTAAAGATTTGGAGGGACGAGATCGTGTAAGAAGGCAAGGTGGATGGAGCTACGATACCTCATTTTGAGAGCCGAATCAGTGAGAGAGCTCATGGTATCAATTATTACTTCAGGACCTTCATGGCAAATGGGCATCGAGCCTTTATATTTTGCGTTAAGGTGAACTATGCAGAGAATATTATGGCTGCTGGATTTTATTTGAATTCTGGATGATAGAATTCTGTTGCTTGGTTATGTTAGAATCATGACAAGGCTTATTGTGGATGGGCGATGGAGTATGATTTTAAATTTTCACTGGAGTTTAAAGGGGATCAATAACAAAGGAGGCGAAAATCAATCGTTTTCGCAGGTGTGGGAGTTCCTCGTACATAAGTACAAACAATGAATACGAATAAGCCAAATGATTGCATGTTTCGCTGGTGACTTGTATGTGTGACTTACCATGGTTGTGGGTCGTGTTTGTCTTGATCTGGTGATCATTCATAATGCTAGTAAGATGTGAACTTCATTCAATGTTTGGTGATGACCATTTTTATGAATGGAGGTTGAGGGTATTCGGGTTTGGGACGGAGGTGTATACTATATATACTATTGTACCTCAGACACTGTGGTGTGTTTCATTGTGGTTTCTTGTGAGTATTTTTTTTTATCAATCAATTAATGCAATGTTTGGTTTATTCTTCAGCTGACTGATGATCAGAAGGGAAGAGATATATATAGCACTGGTTTTACTAGGTAGGTAATGATAGAATTATGTACATAGGTAACTACAATGCTTATCTATTTACCTACCTAGGTATATAGAAGTAAAATAAAATAAAATAAAATAGATCGTGTATGTATATAGAGAGAGAGAAAGAGAGTTGGTAAGAAACTACTTAATAAGTGTTGTTCCTAGCAGTCTCCTGCATCTTCTTAATTCCGTAGCCATCTGTTTCTGTACCCCTCTTTCCTACTTGACTAGCTGCTGGTATCACGAGATCTACTATGCATCTGTCTGCATCTACGTCCCATTTGTGCTCTGGATTGGTTATGGCTCTTGGGTTTTGGATTTTCTGGTTGGTTTTAATTTGCTTCGATGGGGTTATGTTTAGGCTGTTTAGGATGGCTGGGCTTTGGATGTTGGATGTTTTGTTGCTACGTCATTTTTGGGGTGGCGATGTGGTCTACTCCGTAGGTTATTCAGTATGGAGTATGGATGGAGTAATGCATATGTTGAGGTTGGAGGGAACTTTTGGATGGATGGGGAATTATTATATGTGAAGCATGGAGAATGAGGCTTGGGATCTCATCTGATGTTTATGTAGAAGTAGGTATATATAAAGATGAAGGGGATAATGGGGTCTATTGTTTATTTCGGCTTGGGTAGAGCTTTGAGAGCTTGGGGTTTAGCTTCACTTCTTTATGTATTTTAGTAGAGGGAGTTCTTGAAGATTACATCCTTTTGGATACGCAAGAGTACCTAGGTATAAAAGTATCTCCTTTGGCCTAAAAGTTGACAGAGGAGTGTTGCATCGCCAAATGAGACTTAACTAGTTTCAAAAGCAAGGAAGAAATCGATAATCTAAAAATAAAAATGACAGTTATTTTCTTGATTTTCTAATTCTGTGAAAGATGGCAATACATAATATGAAGATGTGAATGTTCATGTTCAATAGAACAATGAGATAATATGGATGGTTGTTGGTGATTATTAGTGTTGGTTAGTGCTTAGTCCCTCTGTTTTCAGGGTAGTGGATCCATCGGCGATTATTAGCCGCCCCTCCATTTATCATAAACAACCTGGGAATCCAACTAAAATAGGTATCACAGGCCAAAAAAGCTCATCTTACTATTTCACTACCAACCTTTCTTCACTAACGGATAGAACCCAGAAGCTTTCCTTTGACCTCAACTTCAATATTTACCTAAAATCCCGTCCAAGTCAACTCAAATCACCTCTGCTGAAGATTTTACAGATTAATTTGTGCCAGATTACACCAGAGTAATACATACTGTACAGACAGACTGGATACAGCCCACCTAACTCGAGATTTGGTCCTCGTCAATTTAAATAAAAAGGGTAGCTGGGGCAACACAGGATCTTTCCACTTCCTTTCGCTATTGCACCCCAAAACTTCAGAAGTCTTCTCATATTTCCAACATCAGTTGCCGAATGGAATATTCAGTGTATCACTAAATAATTCTCTGCCATCAGGTCCAACAATTCAGTTCGCGGTTGCGGCTTCGGGACAAGGCAACCTTTGGAAATACATTTTGGCCTTCACAGCTAACGTCCTGGTCTGGCCTACCATTCAAATATGGTGAAGGCAGATTTTGATCGGGATTACTATGCTGATCTCGAGATTGAGCAAGGGGCCTCAATAAATGAGATCAAGAAGCAGTTTAGAAAACTTGGTACAAAATCCTCCACTTTTTCCCCCGCAGCCAAAACTAATCTTTTCTCTCGACAGCTCTCGTATACCATCCAGATAGAAATTTAGGAAAAGAAACCGATATAACTGCCAAGTTCCAAGCCATTCAATCCGCACATGAAGTTCTTACAGATCCATTAGAGCGACAGAGATATGATGATGCTCGATCCAGATTCCGCTATACATCAGCTTCAGCTTTTAGATCTACGAAAGGCAATCCATATTCAAGCTATGGCTCTGAATGGGCTCCTCCACCCAAGCCACCACCATATAGACCTAATAGAAACCCCCCTCCGCAATCTGCCGGTGCTGCAAGATACTCAACTTTCCAAACACCGAAACAATCAGCAAGCGCGGCGGCACAAGAGGGGCCTGAGGCAAGGAAGAGTACATTCAATGCATGGGAGAGCATGAAGGGTAACCAAAGGGCATCAGCCAGTTATAGAACTGGTTCTGGACCGACATGGACTACACCAAAATCAGCGCCCAGGAATCAATATGACCGAGAAGAAAGCAGTGGCTTCAAGAACACTGCGCCTCCGAGACACAAGCCAAGCTTCGACGACTTCAGGTCTGAATCATACCATGCGCGAACCCCAAGTAATCCTGCACCTCCTATACCGAAAAGAAATGGATTCATGCCTAGCAACCCAGGGGCCGATGAGCCATCTGCAGGAAAGGGAAATTACTCTACATCTCGCGTCAATCGAAATATGCCACCACCCCCACCACCAAGAGAGGCTCCGTCGTTTGAACAAGAACGAGAAAAAGCGTACACTCCAGCTGCGGCTCCTCCTGTCAATAATAGTACCCGTCCATCGCCGAAGATAAACGATCCATTACGTGAATTCAGGACTGAAGAAGAGCCATCTTATGAGCCTCGTCTCAGTACACCATACGCCAGCGCTGGGGGAGAAAAGTTTGATCCATTTGACGCAGCCAATTTAGCAAGGTCGAAAACTAGCCGAGAGAGTTTTACTGAACCAAAAACTAGGAAGCCGGTCCCAAGGGCAGGATCTGATCCTGACTTAACCTCCCCAAGTCCAAATAGTACCCCAAAGGATACTTCTCCAAAGGATAGCTTTCCTAGAGTTAGCATTCCAAAGGATAATTTTCCTAGAGATAGCATTCCGAAGGGTAGTTCTCCCAAGGATAGTACTCCAAAGGATAGTTTTTCCAAGGATAATTTTCTCAAAAACAGTATTCCCAAGGACAGTATTCCCATAGATAGTTTCCCAAAAGAAAGTATTCCAAAAGACAGCATCCCAAAAGATAGCATCCCAAAAGATAGCATCCCAAAAGATAGCATCCCAAAAGACAATATCCCAAAAGATAATATTCCGAGGGAAAAGATTCCGAGGAATCATGTTCCAAAGGATAACATTAAAAAGGACAGTACTCCAAAACCAGCGCAGGCTTTCGCAACGTCGCCCGATTCATCAGATTCCGGGAATGCCCCTGAGATCAACCCCCAGAGACCGCGGGTTTTTGCCAAACCTAGGAAACCTACCTCGGCCCAAGAGCAAAGACAGCCAGATACTGCTCCACCAGAAACATCAAAACAAAGTAAGCGAGATTTTCTCCAAGCCTTCCAGTGAAGGATGAACAATCCCAACCCAAACTACCTTCCAAATGCTAACCCTTTGTAGATGGACCTGCAGCCCAAGAAGAGCCTAAACGCCAAGATTCAATGTATGATACATCTTCTAAGTACACTGCTTCTAATCCCAAGGAGCCGTTTCATCATCTCAAGCATGCATCATTTCCTGGGACCCCTCTGCGCCTGCCCCCTTCATACTCCAAAAGCATGCAGGATGCATACAGAGAAAAGTATCCTGGATCTTCTATTACTTCAAGGGGGCATCACGCTGCATCACCTCCTAGTGGAGGTTCTTCTCATTTTTCGAAGGATTTTCAACAAGGCCAGAAGGATAACTTGCATCACAAGAGCGGCGTATTCACTCACAGCATGAATACTTTCGAGGCTGCTCAACACAACCTCGTCGACCGATTGGTAGCCAATAAGGAGCGGGCCCAGAATCTCCATCAAAATGGTCATGTGAAGTCAGTCAAGAGTGCCAACTACCAGGTCCGCAATGACAAGGCTATTTATTCGTTCAAAGCAACGTCGGCCGAAACAAGTAACTTCATCAAAAGACCAACTTCTGTCACTAGATCTCATTCTGCATTTTCAGCTGGCGATTCTCGTTTGAATTCTTTGTTATTGGATAAGTTAAATGCACATGCTAATACCAATTCTCAAAACAGCTTTTCTATGAAATTAGATGATGAAACATTCTCTCCCACTCAACCAAAAATTAATACCACCTTTTCCTCCGCGGATTGGCTTCCAAAATTTGAAGCTGGTGGTGATTATTTTGTACCAGAGCGGAAAACCACTCAGATTCCACTTCACTCTCGGTTCCGCGCTCAGTCAGCAAGCCGACCAAGAGCTCGTTCTCCTGTTAAAAGCCGCTCCGCTGATTCGAAACCTTTCCCAACGCGAAAACTGGACTCAGATACACCAATCGAATCTCCTGGTGGCACCAGGTTTTCTCCGAAGGATTGGGAAGAAACATTCAAACCTCAAACATTCGCTCCCCCATCAATCCCATCGCCTATTAAACCTTCTCTCCCTCCACGAGTCGGGTCTCGGAGGCCAAGATTGCCTATTCCCAGACCTACTGTTGGTTCTGCTGCTGTGTTTAATGAGGATGATAGCTCAGATGATAAGCCACTCTTTGCTGGCAGGAACTCAAAAGCTCCAAAACCTCCAGCTAGTCCAGATGCGATGGATGTTGATTCTCCTCCCCCAGCGACACCAGCTCCACCACCACCAGCTCCACCACCACAGGCCTCCCAAGCAAAAGCTTCACCGCCACAGCCTTCCCCAGCAAAAGCTTCACCACCAAGGGCTAGTGCTGGACTGAAGATCAACACCGACCAACTCAAGAGATCTGCAGCCTCATCTCAATCTCCAGTCGATGCAGAAGGCTTAGGGGTCGATTTCCATGATTTAGACATTGAAGACCTTCTTTCTTCCCTCAATTTACCAACGCCTCCCACTGCCCCAAGATATTCCCATGAATCATACACAGCACTGTCACAAGGTATCTATTTATCTTCATTTACAGCTTACATGGGTGACTGGGATTTCTTTGCCAAACGTATGTTACTACATCTCCTTGCACGCAAGAACCAAAACGATGGGCTAGGATCGAATCGGTGGGAAAATCCTCAGGGTTTGGATATTTACAGACGTGGTCTCAAAGAGGATGGAGCAGTTATGAGTCATTGGGTTGCGGCCGTAGCAAGTCATGATCAAGCTATGAAAGAATTTGCTATTAATAAAGAGCGTTTCGATATAGCGGACGGCAGAGATAGGGAACGGCCAAGGAAGAAGACACATTGAAGTAAATTTCGTGTGATCTTGTTTTATAGTATTACTAGTTCAGTCATGGTCTCTTCGGACATTTTTGTTATTCGGTGAGTGTTATTTTTCTAGATTATTAGGAGATATCACGGTGGATATTGAAGGAGTGATGGAGTGACGGCGGGGTTTCTGGAGATGAAATGAAATGGATGCATTGATGGAACCAAAAGGAATCATTTGGTGGTGTGGTTTGGAAGTTCTGGTTCTGGTTCTGATTCTGATTCTTTGGGTTTATTGATTGTTTGGCTTTAATTGGTTCTTTTCCAGATACCCCTTGGGATAAGGATGGATTGGCATACATATCAGGATTCATTTACTTGCTGATCTCTAGTTTGGCAAAGAAATGAAGGTATGATACGTCAATTCATGGTAGGATTTTTCGAATGTTTTTTATGCATGAATGATGGATGGCTGAATGGGTTGAGCATACATACATACATACATACATACATATGACACACTTTAGAAAAATAATCTTGTAATTATAGTATCAAGTATTTATTTCTTTGAGATTTCTCTCTGTTTTGTTTGTTGATTGTGAGTTTTGGCTTATGAATGAATAGTGTTATGGATATAAGTTGAAAGAAAGGTAGGCGATTATATAGTAATCTGAGGTGTATTTAATATCCTTCCTTGCCTAATTAAATATCCGTAATTTATCTACCTGGGTCCTTAAGTATAATTCAAGGATAAAAACTAAAAAGTAAAAACTAAGAAATGAGAAATGAGAAATGAGAGATAAAAGAAAATGAGGGGGAATCTGGGAGGGAATCTGAGATAAGTTGTATATTTGGTTATTTGAGTGTTTTGTGAATTTGAGTGAGATGTTTTTGTATGGGGGGATAGAGGAGGGAGAGGAGGGAGAGGAGGGAGAGGAGGGAGAGGAGGGAGAGGAGGGAGAGGAGGGAGAGGAGGGAGAGGAGGGAGAGGAGGGAGAGGTGAATGTATTATTTTGTGTTATATTTTATTTCAGTGGAAAGGGAATTATTGGGATGGCGCTTTTGGTGAGGGAAAGGGGAGAAGGGGGGAAGAGAAAGAAAAAGAAAGCGGGAAAAGAAAGTTGGAGGATGGGAGTGAGGATGGGTAGGCGGGTAAATGGACGAATAACAATCGAATAGAAAGAACAAATTTTTATAATGTTAATAAGCTAAATTTATATTAATTTGAATGATTTGAGTGTTACGACGGCTATCTTCCACACCGCGTCATATGACTAAACCAAGGTAACGTGATTAAGTCACGTTATGGACCGCTGCGCGGTCCTGACTAGCCATAGGCATGAAGGTCTATATAATCAAGATGGATTTCCTTTGTATAGAGCTTCGTGCTCAAGATCAATCATTTAGTATACTCTACTATTAGTTACGAATTGTATATCATTATTGTCATTACTTTAAGTCCCTGCTTGACGCCTAGTTATAAACCATCTCGAGAGCCTAGAGCACTTACACGTGATCTAGACGGCAAACCTCATAACAGCTGATAGGGCAGAACTGAGGCTATATTGGTCTTGTATATAAATCACACATTATCTAAGTTCTACGGAAGTGAGTGTCACGATTCATTAATTCATGTGACCTCGAGGACCTTGAGGACCTTTTGGACCTTAGGGTCCCAGAGGTCCTCAAAGATGATATAGGGTATATAAACATTCATTTAATCTCGTAGTTAAGGAGCTTCGTGCTCAATTTAGTTATCAATTAGTTATGGGTTAAGGCTTTATCATTGGTATTCACTTGAAAGTGAATTCGTTACTAGATCAAGTAGAATGTAGATAAACTAATTGATAACTAAGTTGAGCACGAAGGTCCTAAACTATGAAACTACTCTAACTATATACTTCTGAATACTATTGGATAGCCTGGATAGATTGGTTTACCCAGGCTATCCCCTAGACTGGATAGACTGGTCTATCCAGTCTATCCATCACGTGATCCTTTATCTGCCTCAGGACACTAATCCTAATAGTGAATCGTGACAGACATCTACTAGCTTACTCGTAGGCCGATGGGTCAGTCTGTGAGTCTACCTACCTACATAGTGCTCTTATTTCTATTAACAAAAAGCTTGTTTATTAGTATTTCCGACGGTTGATAGAATCGGTAATTACGAGTAAAGTGAATTGGAAAGTTCCCATTTTTTTGGATCTACATTTGTGAGCTTCCAATCATACACATGCAAATTTATTCGGCGTTATCTGATCTGAATATGATCGTCATGAATCGTAGGGAAAAGGGTCTCGGGCCTGTCTAGGCCCAATTTTTAGGAAAAACGTTGCTGGATTAAGATTTTTCCGATTGGATATTTGTCATGTGATAAGGAACGTCAATATAACTTGGATTTTATGGGTGAAATCGGGTGAGAGATGTTGTTTGGTGATGATTTGATTTAAGAAATGGATAATAGGAACTTGGTGCCCACTTGCTGATTATTTGTCATATGGGTATGTTATTCTGACTCTTTTGTAGCTTCTTGTGCTGTGGGTAGAAATGTGGAGCTGTGAGTGATGATCTCGATGAGTTTGTTCTTGGGGAAGAGTTTTGTCGAGAGGAATCGAGATTTCTGGTAAAGTAGTCTATACTTCTAGAATGAAGATTGTTAAGATTTAATCAAGTGTGATTGGTTTTTTAAGGGCTGGGTCTGTCACAAAAATCAATTGATGGATAGAGGTGAAGAAGTGAGTGATGTTTGGTAAAGTGAAGTTAGATTCAATCTTCAGTCCTGTGTAGATATTTTTGTTTTTGGAATGTAATTTGAATTAATAGAGTAACTGAATTGGAGATGAGATGAGTGAAGGAATGAATGAATTGAATGTCAATTCATGTGATGAGATACTCGTGTTTAGAGGATAGCATTCGTTGCATCTGTAGGTATTCACCAGCATCAGTATCATCTAACATACTCCAAAAAGCTGACATAGCCAAGTCTTAAGAATCATACATTCAGACTGATCTGAGATAAAGTATTGTTAGGGTTATGCTGGTACATTGTTGGGGAAGATGGGGAAGATGGAATTTGTGGAGAAAAATCAGATACGGAAGGAAGGGACAAGGGACGAAATACATGCAACACTGAATTACAGAGAAGAGAAGATGGGTGTTGCAAATTTATCCCAATATTCGTTCCATTGATCTTTCATCTCAGCTTTTGTTCGAATTCATTCTGTTATAATCGAATAGGTGAAGATGAATGGATGAAGGAACTACGGCATTGAATTGTGGAAGACAGAAAGGCAAATCAGAACAAAAGCGGAAGGTCGGCAGTGCGTATTCATTCAATGGCCAAGCCATACATCCATCTGCGATTTGCTAGAATTCACTCTACTCCAATGATGTCAATGGAAATGTCTTTCGTAAAGTAATGATCGATGAGATACTCGAGGGGAACTTGACCTTCTCAGAAACATTAATACCGTGATACTCTAATTTGCCTTTCTCATAAATCAAATTATCCGATGAATTAAGCATCAGTGAACCATCAGTGAGTGATACAGCCTTGAGGTTGTTCTCCATATCATCGTGGAGCTACGGCTTTCTCTCCTTATCTCTCTCTACTTACATTTACAAACCCTGGAAATTTCTACACTGAATTGAAGCTACTTGAAAACCCAAGGCTCGTCGCCCTGCAAAAGGTTTTCCCAAGGCCAATGTTGGATTCAGACTAGCTCCAATTTTTATTCTGACTCAAGCGATTTCTATTCCTACTGGAGCTTCCGCATTTAAGATCTTCAGTCCCCCAAAAGAGTTCGCAACAAAAACCAAAACTCAACAACAACACAAAGACACAACAATCGCACTGGTAGTACTTGATGCAATAGGTTTCTTCCCAATCAAAGACCCAATATAACTTTCTTTGCTTTGCTTTCCTTTTGAAGCATTTTATCAACATTTCAAACATAACTTTACCAATCAATTAGAACTACCATAAATCCGTGGAAAACCATGGAAATATCTCGACGACCAATGCACAATGCAAATGCATCATTTGACTTTGCACCCATCGCACCCGAATTCTCAACTCAAGAAACTCCTAGCAGATTCGCAGGAGGCATGGGCAATTCTCAATTTCAACAACAAATCCATGAAACACTCTGTCATCTTCACCAAAAAAAACCTCAAATGTATCACCAAGTTGTAGGAAACAACATGCACAATGATGGCCAACAATATATGTTTATGAGTAGCAGAGATGCAATAGATGGATTGAACGAGCTACGACTTCGCGATCAAGCAAGATCTAGCCTTTATGCTCCACAACAGCATACTCAAGCACTTTTCTGGACCATCATGTTGCGCAACGAACATACTGAAGCCAATGTCCGGTCCATCCTGGTTCAACCGCCAATACATTTTCAAAACAATGGTC